GGGCGGGGCCTGGCGGAGGCCGCTGCGTTCCCCGACGGCCGCCGGGAGGGGGCCGGCCGAGGGACTGAGCCCGGGGCTGCGCAGTCAGACGCTGACCGGGCGCGAGCGGCGACGCGGGGCTTGCCGCGCTGAGCAGAGAGCAGAGCCTGCAGGTGAGAGGGGCCGGGAGGAGGCCGGCCGGACAAGCAGCGGCAAAGTTAGTTTCCGCCCTGCTTCCAGAGCCAGCTCAGGCAGCTTTCTCGGAACGAGTGACAGGTCGGGCCACGGAGGCAGCTGGTGGGAGAAAAGGAGCATAAGTTCCCGAGTCCTGAGCCCAGGTCTCCGGCTCCGCCATGCGCCAGCTGTGTGACCCCGGGCCCGTCCCCGCACCCGGCTCTGGACCTCTCGGGTTCCAGGAAAAGGAGGAGGTTGAACCAGGTGAACTCCTTGGTTGCCCTTTCTCACTAAAATCCCGGAAAGTGATCGCTGGCAGGTGAGAGCCGGCTGCAGTTCAGCCACAGGTGCTCGGATCGCGCTGCCCAGGCTGCAGTTCCTCTCCCTGCAGAGGGGCACCGAGGGAACTTGGACCCACAGGCCCTGGGGAAGGGGAGCCCAAGTCAGGGAGATTTTGGTCTCCCTTTCCCCCCAACACTGGGAGCCAGTGAGACTTCAGGCTGGAAACTCAGCGGGGCTTTTGTCCTGCTCCTGGGGCTTTTCCAGGTGAGCTGGCCTGAGACGCCCGGGACGGAAACCAGGGGACAAATTCTTATCCGGGTGCCTGGGGATTTCCCCACCAAACCTTGGGCCCGGACCCAAGCCCAGGGCCTGGGGCTCTTGCTGCATGCCCAGGATTAGTTCTTCAGATGGAGCTTTCTGTCCCTGGTGGTGGCGGGTGCTGTGTGCCAGGGCCATAGTAGCTGAGCAGCCTGGTTCAGTGGCCAAGGGTTTGGGCTTTGGGAGCAAAATAACCTGGATTCCACTCGCCCTCCGAGCTTCAGTTTCCCCATCTGTAAAATGGGGGTCATGACAGTACCCAGTGGCAGTGGTGAGGACTAACGAGAATGACATGGGTATAGTACTTAGCAAGGCGCCAGGCACCCAGTGAGGGCTCGCGACGTGACAGCTGCTCTGATGGAGAAGGGCAGGTGATGGGCTGGCTTCCTGCCTGGGAATGAGCCGGTCTTTGGAGGGCTGAAGGCTGGCCGCTGCCCCTCCTGACCTTGTGAGAGCCAGAAATTGCCACCTGCCACCAGCGTCACTTTGTCCATTTTGGGGTTGGGGAGGGTGTCATCTGGACCAAAGGGTGGCTGAGTTTTCCGTAATAGTGCGTGAGGATGGTGGGTGTCCAATTAAATAAACCCAAAAATGTTTACTGATCACCTACTATATATTAGATGGAGCAACAGAATACAGAGGTGAGCTAGCCAGACCTGGGCTCTGCCCGCATTCTGAGTTGTTGACAGTGAGGGCTCCGCAATCCCCACCATGCCCATGTTGGAGAAGATAACTCACACCCGGGCCTTGGGGCCAGACGGGGTTTCATGGGTCTGCCCTGCCCTGGTGGCTGGAGTCCAGCTATTCCATTGTCCACTTGGCTTGGGGTGGAGGTGAGGGGCAGAGTGGGCACCGGTTATCTGTTTGATCAGGGTTGGGCACCAAAGGAGACTGGGAGTGCTGCATGTTGGCTCCCTGCATCTCCTGGGGAGATGACCACTACACTTTGGAACCAGCTGGAAAGTTCTATGGGACAAAGTCTGATTGGAGGCTGCACTATGTGTGTGTATGAGGGGGTGGTGCTTAGAAGAAATGAGACACTGGAGAAACCAGGGAGCGGGGTAAGGGGCCTTCCTGGAGTTGGAGAGACTTGAGCAGGATTTTCTGCCTGGGTCCCAAGTCCTGGTTGGGCTTGGATCAGCTTGGGGCCACAGACTCCCCTCTCCAAGCATCTGAGCTCATAAGAGTTTGGTAAGGTGGGGAGGGAGGGGGGTCAGTTGGTGGTGCCTGCGGGGAGAGATGTTCATTTCGAACAGTGCTTAGTAAGCATCTCCTGGAAAGTCTTCCCTGCTGACCCTCCAGCCCACCTGATGAGTGACACACGATGACACGCTGACCCCAGCCTTGGTTGCTTACCGGCTGGTCAGGGACTTAGACAAGGACACCAATGAGTCTGATAGGAGAAGAAAGGATTAAAGGGTCTTCAGGAAAGCTCCGTGGGGGAGGTGGGAGTTTTGAGTGGACCTTAAGGGTTGGGAGGGTTTCAGCAGCTGCAGCACAGACTGGGGTGTTTGGGGCAGAGGAAAAGGCCTAGGCCAAGGCAAGGAGGTCAGAGTGTTCAGGGAATTTTCAAGAAACTGCTAGGCTGATCAGTCTGGCTGAAGAATGGGACTGTGCAAGGATGTGAAGGGGGAATGGTGGGTTGGATCCACTCGTGGAGGGCCTTGAATGCCAAAGTGAGATGTTTGGACTGCATTGGTGGAAACTGAGAGCCACTGAAGGTTTCGAGCAGGGGAGTGACACCATCAGAGCGGCCCTTAGGAAAGGCAGTGGTGCCAGACGTGCTGGGGTGGAGGACGCAGTGGTCGAGGAGAAATCAACCCATGGCTGCAGTGGTGGGGAAGGAGGGGCCTGGGGGCTTCGTGGATGTCCGCGGCTGGTAGTGAAGGAAGAGGCAACAGCCGTGGGGATGGAAAAGGCATGGTCAGAGGGGCGCGGGGAGCCAGGGCGATGCGAGGAGAGGAGCGAGTGGATGCCCCTTGTTCTTGCTCTTGCCCAGCCAGCCTAGCCCCTGGTGCATAGCAGGGCCTCAGGAAACTGCTGGATTGGGTGGGGGTAGGGGGCACTGGGGGGGGAGACGAGTGCTCCAGAGCAGTAGAGAGGGAGCCGCTCTAGAAGGCGCTGCGTCTGCCCATGGAGGGCGGCATCTCGCCATGGGGCAGGAGCTTGAGCGAGGCAGCGGTGAGTCTGCGAGCAGGCTGGGTGGGAGTCGTGCCTGTGGCTTCCCCGTCCCAGCCCCAGCCCAGGGCGAGCAGGGGTGAGAGGTCAGCCGGAGGGGGCACACGTTTCCCACATGGAGGGTGGGTTTTGGTTCCCCCCGGCTCCTCTGAAGTTGGCCATGTGGGGCAGTCCCCTCTCTCTTGAGGCCTCAGACTTTGAGCCACTGGCTTGAAGTTCCTCCTCTTCATCCCCTGCCCTCCACCCTGGGGAGCCTCCCTGGTTCCCCTGAGGACCAGACAGCCCCCTCCTGGCCCCGGGCTGAGCAGACCCAAGCCCTGAGCATTCCCTGGGGTTTGGAGCATCTGAGGCCAGCTGGCATCCCCTGGTTTTAGCTTGGCCTTGACCCCCTGGCTCCAAACTGTTGTACCCACTTCCTCCACCTCAAAGGCAGCTCGGAGGGGCGGTTAGGATTTAATCAAGAGCATCAAACCGTCAGGACTTCGCGCTGCGAGAGGCAGGCGGGAGGGCAGAGCCCGGGCCCCGCTGTGGGATAGGAAGGGGCCAGGGGTGGGGGGCTGGTTTAATCTCAGCAGGAACTGCCCTGCCCACCCACTTCCCCTCCTCTAAGCCCGGGTCTCAGGAGCCGGGATGGAAGCCCAGAGGTAAACACGGGCCGAGTGGTGTGGGACATGTTCCTTCCCTCCTCCCCTCGCCCCCGATGCTGCCTGTGAGGAGGCGGCCAACCACAGCCTGGCCAGAGGCCTCTGTAACAGGCCCAGTTGGTGTCTGGGGCCGGCTGGTTCCTGACTCACCACTGGGGATCCCCCACATCGTGGTCTTCCTGTCAGCAGCTGATTCACTCCGTCCTGACATGGAGAAGCAGCTGAGGGGAAGGAAGAGGCCTGTCTCCTGGTGCTCCGAGTTAGTTTCAGCTCTGCTGTGTGACCTGCCATAAGTCCCTTCCCCTCTCTGGGCTTCCCTTCCCTGCTCTGCTAAAGGCCTGTTCTTTACTTGGCTCTCAGGAGCTTTGTGACCTGGGATCTGTCGTTTGTGAAGCAGGGCACATGTGAGCGCGCACACACACACACACACACACAGCACAGGGTCTCAGGACAGAATGGAACTGGGCGACTCCTCTCAAACATATGACAATTGGTGCCGCCTCCTGACCCTTGCCTCTGCCCGACCTGAGGCACCACACCTACCTTCTGCCTGTGCGCAGACTAGGGAGATGGTGGAGCCTGGTGTGAAGAGTTGGACTTGGAGCTGGAATCTCGGCCCTGCCCCTTCCTGGTTAGGTGACGCTTTCTGAGCCTCTGTTTCTTAATCTGTAAATTGGGGGTCATAATATAATAATATAAAATTGCTCAGCAATTTTATACCCAGCACACATTGAATGCTCCATAAATGAGAGCTGCTGCTGCTGTTGCTATTTTCTGCATCTGGCCTGTCTTTCAAAGCTTGTACCAGGCTGCTTCTCAGGCCTTCTGGAACATTCCCCAGAGCGCCTACCTTCTGAATGGGCCCTCTGTGCCTCTCCAACCTAAGTGTGTGTGTGCCCCAAGACGCTAGTCATTTCCGGCTGTGTGGTTCTCCCCTGCTCTTTCTGGGGGTGGCTGGGTCTCCCCAGCATGACTCGAAGCTTCCTGAGGGGAAGTAGGTCTGACAGCAATGGCAGACCTTCTCCAAACTCCCTCCTTTCCCTGTCTACACCAAGTATTTTCTTCCTGTTCTGCGGCATATGGAGTGTCTCCGTGAACCCTGCCCTGTCCTTCTCTGTGTCCTTGACTCCTGGCCCAAGGCCTGGCACACAGCAGGCCCTCAGGAAGTGATGGTTGAATGAATAAGTGATTCTCCTCAGGGCGGCCCGGCAGGACCCAGCTCAGTGCCAGCTCCTCGGTGACTCCTTGGCAGAGGCGCTGGGAAGCAGGGTCTGGATGCCCCTGCTTTGCCCTCGAACCTGCCCGCCTGAAGCTGGGTCCTGGGAGGCGGGAATGGGCTGGCTGGCCTGGGATTGGTTCTGTCGGGCTCCAGCTTCCCCCGTGAGGCCTGGCCTTTCCCCTCCTGAGAGGGGAACAGCCCGACTTCCTCCAGCCCCAGCCTGGCGAGGGGTCACTCTTGCCTTGTGAACCCTGACTCAGCCAGAAAAGGCACCCACAAGTCAGCATGTATTTGCGGAACGTGCTGCTGCCCCATGAGGGCTCAGGCTCAGGATGGGGGCATGGGAAGGTGCCCGCCAGGAGGCCCAGCCCGGACATTATCCCTGCAGACCAGTGGCTGGGCGGCTCTGGGAGGCCCTCCCCTCTCCCCTCCCTTCCTTCCCTGCAGTGGGGGCTTCTGCCATTTCTTGGCCGCACCCCTGCCTTTCCGTGCTGAGTCGAGGGGTGATGCGGGGTGGAAGTTGTTGCGAATTCTGGACCTAGGCTCCTGGAGCTGATGCAGAGAAGTGGACTCAGTGCTGGAGGCTGGGCGTCAGGAAGCCTGGGTTCAGCTCAGGCTCTGCGGTGAAGTTGCAGAGGGACTTTGTCCAGGGAGGTGACCCCCTAGGCTGGTTTTCTTCCTCCTCAGGCAGCAGGTGCTCCAGAAACCTGTCTGGGGTCCAGCGGGGCTTGGCCCGGGAGAGTGGGGAAGGAACCACAGGTGGTGTCACCCACTCTGGAACCAAACTGCCTGAGGATGATCCTGCCTCTGCTAGTTCCCTGCTGGGCGTGACCTTGGGCCAGTGTCTTAACCCCTCTGTGCACCCGTTTCAGCATCTAAAATGATAATAGTACTTACCTCGTAGGGCTGTTAGAGAATGATATGAATTAATGTACGTGAAGCATTTGTGACGTGCCTGGCACACAGTAAGTGGTATCTATGTCCCCGCTGTTTTTGGTAGTGTTGCCATTATTAATAGGAAGCAGGATTTAAATCCTTGGGGCAGGAAAGCTTGGTGAACAGCTTGGGTCTGGGGATCAGGAGACCGGATTCTGATCCCAGCTCCTCCCTTACTTGCCATGTGACCTTGGGCAAGTTACAGCCCTTCTTGGCTGTGAAATTATAACGATTATCCTGCATTTGCTGCACTTGGCTTGTGTAAGCGAGGCACACTCAGTGTCACAGCGGGCAGTGGCAGGGTTTTATTCAGGGGAGGGACTTCTGGGTGCCCGGCCCACTCCCCTGCACTGAGACAGCCACCGTAGGTGGACTGTGCCTGGCCTGGCGCTGCCACGGAGGCCCTGCAGACACGGAATGGCAGAGCTGCCCCCACCCAGGACTGACTTCACAAGGCTGAAAAGTAGAATATATTTAAATATACACATAACAATGGGATGATATAGATCAGATTACAGACCTTTGTGTTTTTACTTTCCCCTGTTTTCTGAATTTTCTGCAGTGAGCCCCTGTTATTTTCACGCTCAAGAAAGAAAGAACACACTTATACAATAAAGCTATCAAAAACCTTCCTCTACATATTTAAACAAAAATGTATTATGTGAACTTGGGATCATATTGAGGCTTATTTCTTTCAAAATGGGGTGGGGTGTTGGTTTGAAGTAAATATCCATTTGTCAGGCCTCAGCAGACGGAGGGAGTGGCGAGGGCCTGGGAGCCTGGAGAGCCGAGTCAGATATGGATGGGAGTGTCGTCACCTTCCATGGTGGGGGTGCTGCGTGGTGTTTAGAAAGCTTTTCAACAGTCGTTGACACAAGGGCTTAATTGCCTCGTGTGTAAAATAGGAATAATAATAATAGCTAATGTGGGGGGGCTGTGAGGGGTAAAAGAGCTTAACACATGCTGAGGCTTCCCAGGGAACCCCTCTTCTCCTCAACTTGGAACCAAGTGAAAACAGTTCACAAAGATGGAGCTCCAGATGGAGGGGTCATTACTGAGAAGGCCGGCCAGAGAAGGTGGCTTAGATCCAGGGCCCAGAGGGCTTGCAAACCGTCGGCCCTGGAACTGGCAGAGTGAGCCGTCCGGGCACAGGCGGCGCTGGACAGGCGGCAGCCTCCGCGCAGGCGCAAGTGGCAGCAGCACACAGTAGCCCAGAGGGAATGCTGCCTGCAGGCAGCTCTGCTCTGTGAGAGGCGGGGCCCCGCTGAGCATGCCCAGCGTGTCTCCCAGACGAACCAATCAGATCAGCCGCTGTAGGCGTGACGCGAAGGGGGCGGAGCGAGGCCAGCGGTGTTCCCCAGGTAGAGGTCCGTGGCTAGGGAAACAAGTGGAGAGGCGCATATGCGTTCCCACTCATCCATATAAGGCACTTTGAAAGATGCCTGGGATGCAGTAAGCGCTCAATAAACGCTCATTTGTCGTCGCTAATAATGATGATAACAATGAGTAATTCTACTACTACAGTTGGAAAATCACTCTGGCACTCACTGCCTTGGGAGGTGGAATATTAGAATGTTGTTGCAATGGGCCTGATGAGCTGTCTCATGAGTAGAGGAAATAGAAAGGCGGGGGCGGGGGCGGATTGGTTTTCTGAGGTCCCGCGGCCAGGGAGTGGGTGGCCAGGCCTGACGTCACTGTCTCCTAGACAGCCGCCTGCCTGAGCCCTGGCCTTTCGGAGCACCCCGCGGGGCCGTCACTGGGGCGGGGAGGAGGTGTCCTGGGCAGTGTGAGGCTCTCAGAGAGCCCCCTGCCTCTGCCCCAGCCCCTTGCCCCCTGCCCCCTGCCCCCTGTCCCCTGCCCCTGCCCCAGCCCCTTGCCCCTGCGCCAGCCCCTTGCCCCCTGTCCCGTGCCCCCGCGCCCTGGCCCCTGCCCCCTCTCCGGCGGGGCCCAGCAGCAGGCTCCTCTGTGTGGGGAGACTGTACAGCTGGGGCCCTGCTCCTCAAAACTTGTGCAGCTCAGAAATGGCTGGGGGCCAGCTGCAGGGAGGGGCCCACTGGGGCTGTGCTTACAGCTTGGGCCCCTTCCGGCCCCTTGGGCCTTGATGCTGGCCGGACCCGGGTGTGAGCCAGCTCTTCCTCCCCCATCTGCTCACCTTCAGGCAAGTTCACAACCTCTCAGGGCCTTGGTGTCCTCATCGGTGGGATGGGGACTGGTGGTGGTACCCCCCCCCCCATGCTGGCCTGAGGATCAGAGGAGACGATGGGTGTGGGTTAGATGCTTAGCAGTGGCAGGCTGCACCCTCTGCACAAGCTAGAGCAGGGTAAGGGTGATAATGATGAATGAGGCCTGCGCTTGCCACTCCTTTGCGGAAATGACAGGGAGTCCTCCTCCCCAAAGGCTGAGACCCTGCTCTGGAGTGAAGGAGCTTTCCAGGGCTGCTTGGAACCCTAGGGGTCAGGACAGCCTCCGCCTCTGTGGGCTTAGTCCTCGATCAGACTGAGCCCAGCCTCGACCTGGGTGCTGTCGCCTTAGAGTTGGGGGCAAAGTTGGGCGCTCGTGATCTTGGTCTTGTGAGCAGCTCTGTACTTCATTGAGTCAATCTACCCACCCAGTCTGATGCCTGGACAACATCCAGCCTTTGCTTGCACACCTCAAGGCTCGGAGAGCTCACTCTCTTCCATCTCTAGACAGATCTCTTTAAAAATATGGTATAGAATTTGAGCAAACCCAGCGTCCCTTAGCTTCCACCCATTGGTCCTGATCATGCTGGTTGGGACCACGTGGAATGTGGACACTCCCTGGGGGGACCAAGGCTCCCTTGTAGCAGGGCCCCCACCCCAGCCAGTGATTTGGATGGAGAAAAGACGTCTCTGTCAACGTTTTTAAAAACTTCATCTCCATTTGAACCAAAGAGCCACTTAAAAAAAAAAAAAAAACTTTCTAGTTATTGAAGAAATGGTTTTTGTGGAAAAATTTGGAGGGTAAAGAGCCGATGCAAAGGAGGAAGTAACCGCTCGGAAAGAAGTGCTGTGAACAGTTTGGCATTCACACATACACACACATACAAGATTGGGATCGTACCGTATGAACCACTTCCTGTGCTGCGGCTTTTAGGTTCATATCGCAGAGGGAGGAATTTTCCATGTTACTCAATATTCGTCCCCAGCATGCTTCCCGGCCCCGTAGTATCACGCCCCCTGGATCTACCATGACCCAGTGAAACATCCTCCTGCTGTGACACATCTAGGCCGTTTTGAATTTTTCGTTAGTATCCACATTGCCATAGTACCACCTCGTCCAGACGTGTATTCTGTGCTCAACTCTGATGATCTCCCCGGAGTGAGTTCCTAGAAGTGGCATTCCAGTCTGATGGCTTTTAAACTCAAGGTCTGAGGACCGGATTCTCAGGGAAAAGCCCTTTCCCCGATACCCACCAGAGTGGACCCCCACATCCAGCTCCAGCCCCACTCGGGGGACAGGGCATTGACTGTCCCTCAGTGCTAATTAGCAAACTCACAGAAGGAAGGGGGCATTCTCTTGGGGTATGTGTGTGTGTCTCTTCAACTGTAGTCTGGCTTTGACCCTCCTCCTCTCTAGGAGCCTGCAGTGTCATTAACTAATTGTGGGATCCCTTCACTATTTAATGACCTCTCTCCATGGTGACTCCTTCCTCCCCCACAGCCTGCTGGGAGCCAGGGAATGGGAAGATGAGTCCGTGGGAGGAAGTTTCTCTGGAGTGGGAGGTGGGTCAGGGGTGGTGCCGTGGTTCCTAGACTCTGACATTCATCAGTCTCCTGGAGCGTTTGTTAAAGCACAGATGGTACCCCCAGAGTTTCTGACTCTGTCTTGGTCTGGGGTGCAGCCCGAGAAAGTGCATTTCTAATACGTTTCAAGGAGATGCTGCTGCTGCTGCTGCTGGTCCGGGGACCGCACTTTGAGAACTCATGAGTAGCGGGATGGGGCAGGGCAGGCTGCGTGGTGAATTTCAGCTCCTGGTGCTGCTGACAGTAGGAACCGTGCCTTGTTTAAGAAAGCGTTGTGTGAGGCCTGAACTCACCTTCCCTCCCAACACCCACCTCATCACCACCTCTCCAGTATGTGCTGTTATATATCGATGTGCAGGAGGATAAGATGATTGTCACCATCCCCATTTTACAGAAGGGAAAACTGAGGCTCTGACAGGTGACCTGATATGTCCAAGGATGCCCTGGAAGCCAGCAGGAGCGTTGGTACAGGAACCCTGGCCTTGTCACCTCTCCTTGCCCTCCCCTCACACGCTGCGGGCTTCCCCCATGCAGGTCTGGCGCAGGAGCAGAGGTGCCTTCCCGGAACACTGTCCTTCCCCAGGGCACCCCATGCGAGGAGGCTGGAAAGGCAGATTCCTCCACACTGTCTCTGAGCCAGAGTCTTGCTCTAATTTCTACTCCCCACTAGCCATTCGGTAACGTGATCTTCTTCCAAGATCTCATCTTCTCCAGCCAGTTTATGTTTCCAGTTATTGTTCTGGGCAGGTTTTCTGGGAGGCCGGAAACTTTCTTCTGCCGAGCTGGCGCTGCCTGGCAGGCACAGCAGAGGGCAGAGAGAACCCTCATCTGTGAACATCTAATGTGTGTCAGGCCCTGCCCTGGGCACTTTGTAGCCATGATGTCAGGTCGTCCTCCCCCCAGCCCCGCCAAGTAGAGGTATCATCAGCCCATTTTACAGACGGAGAAACTGAGGGTCCTGGAGCTGAAGCGACTCGCCCACAGTCACAGCTGAAAGGGCAGAGCTGGGCTTTCAATCCCAGACTCCAAGGCTGGGCCCCTAGTCTGGAGTGGCAGCAGGGCCTGGACCCGCGGGATGTGGGGGGCAGCCTGTTCTCCGCCCACCACCCATTGGAAGAAGGTCAGCCCCGGAGCGGGGCTCCCCTGGGATTCAGGGTCTTGCAGGGGGAGGGCCCTGGCTTAGCCATCAGGAGACCCCATTCAGGTCCTGTTCTGCTGCCACCTGGCTGTGTGACCTTGGGCAAGTGACTCCCCCACTTGGGGCGTCCGAGTCCTCATTTTTCGTAGTGATACCTTCTGCTTTACGGCTTTGACGGTGGGCATTTTCTCACGTACTTATTCCTGTAAGTCTCCCAGTGCTTTGTGAGATAGGGAGGGAGGGCATTATTACTGAGCCCACTCTACAGATGATGACAGAGGCTGTGTTGATTTGTCCCCATCCTGAGCCTGGCCCGTCACCGGGAGCTGCCTCCTAAGTCAGGAGGGAGAACCTCGGGCTCCCCTCTATTCTCAGCCTTAGGATTAGGGATCCCTTCGTTAAGCTGGAGGGTCCTGGGTGCAGGGGGCCCAGGACTCCAGAAAAGGCTGGCCTGGGATCCTCGCTCTGGGTCAGGAACTGTGGGGAGGGAAGATAGGGTGGTCCATGCTGTCCCTTTACCAGCTCCTGCCCAGGCCCGGGCATTTGAGGCTCCTGGTGGTGGCAGGAGGAGGGGTTCGGCCCACCTCCCCCTCCCCCCTCAGCCCCTGGCTTTCCCTGGGTACTGTGCCTGGCCTCCAAATGCATGCAACGGAATTTTCTAGACTCCTGGATCTCGGTGCCTGGGCCCTGGGGCTCTGCCTGGCTGTCCTCGCCTCCTCCCCTGTCTCCTGGCCTGAGTCTTGCTCATCCTCCCAGGCCCAGCTCCAGCCACCTTCTTTCATCAGGGAAGTCTTGATCCTCTGGCCAAGCCAACTCAGCTGTCTTGGGTTTTGTCCATTGGGTGAGCTGGCTAACTGGGTCAGTCACCTCCCAACGAGGCCATGAGAGCGGGGGCTGTGGCTTCTGTGGGTCCAAGCCAGGCCGGCAGGGCTCAGGCCGCTGGGTCTGCATGGGCTGGGACGGCTGACCCACTCAGGGTCATCCTCAGACCTGTGACTCACACTGTCATCTGGAGAAAGTGCTTCATCTTCTCTGACCCCTGGCCTCCCTCCCCTAAGAAGGAGAAAGCTCCTTTCCTTAGTGACCACTTGTAAGGCTTGCAAGAGAGAAAGTGTGCAGAATACCTACCACTGGTGTCTGGTGGGTTCAAGACTCTCAGGAAATTCCCATCCCTGCCCTTCCCTGCAGTCAGCTCTGGCTTCGTCTCTCCTCCACCCGCCCCGCCCCCTTGAGTCGGGTGTCTGGCTGGGCCTTGGTCTGGGGCCTGAACTATATCTGCCCCAGGTAGGGATGCTCAGGGAAGGATCAGGCAGAGGCACAGAGTCAGCTCCAGACAGGCTCTGCCAATTGCAAGTTGTGACCCTGGGCTCGGAACCTCCCTGAGCCTCGGCTTGCCCATCTGTAGAAGAGGGCTACCCCTGTCTCCTGCGTTCTCAGGCTCACATGGGAGGCCTCCTGGTGGAGCTCAATGAGGAGGAGTGGGAACCCAGGTGACCGGAAGCCCGAGTCTCCCTCCCAGGAGCCTGGAGGCTGGCCAGGCATGGTTCATTTACATATCCAGGTTCATCTGCATATCCAGGTTCATCTGCATATCCAGGCTCATCTACATATCTAGGCTCATCTACATATCCAGGCTCATCTACATATCCAGGCTCATTTACATATCCATTTTCCTACTGGAAGTAAACAGTCCCCTTTCCCTCTGGACACCCGGAGGCTCACCAGGCCCTTGTGCTCTTGGCTCTGGGCCTGGTGTGCTGGGTCACTCTGGGGGAGCAGCATGTCTCTGAGCTCCTTTCTTCCTGTGCAGCTGGGGAGCCAGCCCAGGCCCGAGGCCCAGCCTGACTCTGAGACTGAGGTGGTATCACTGCAGGTGCTTGTGCTGAGAACTCTTGGAGCCCCACACCTGGCCCCTGGGGCCCACTGGGGGCGTAGACCCCTTCCTGTAGCGCCAAACACCTTTCCTGTCCATTTCTGTCTGTCTGTTTGTCTGTACAACCCCCTCCTCCCAATTCCCTGTGGCCCAGAACCTTCTCATGGTGATAATCATCACCAGCTTCCCTTTATTGTGCTAGAGCAGTTTTATTCCGCAAGCCTCACACCTCCCTGTAAGGTAGGAACGGACCATTGTTACCCCAGAGAGGGGAGGGGCTTGTCACGGCACACAGCTGGGACTCACGGCCTCTCCACCCACCCCCATTCCCCAACTCTCAGCGGATGCTCACACTCTTGGCTAAATTTTGCCTTCCAGAGGCGTGTCAGTCGAATGGGCAGGGAAGTGGGTCGGCAGGAGGTGAGGATGACAGAGTCTTAGGTCTCCAGGATCAGGGTGGAGGGTCCTAGGTATCCACCCTGCATTAGGAGCCGGCATAGGGACCGTCCCTATTGCACAGAGAGGGCAGCTGAGGTTTAGGGAGGGGGAGTGACAATGGGGTCGAGCTGGCTGTGCTCTCGCCCTTGCTTCTCTCCTCTCCAGGACCCTGAGGCCTCTAGTGGGGGTGGGGGAGGCCCATGGGGCTGTTTGGGACCAAGGTGCTCATTTTGCCCTAGCCGGGGTCAAGTCCCCTCTCCCTGCTTCGGCTCCCTGAGGGTCTGTGAGTGGCTGCAGCACCCCTTCTGGTGATAAAGGTCCAGACTGCTCAGGAATCTCAGTGCAGGGGGGTGGGGGAGGGGGGTTCCGTCCAGGGCATCGCCTGGCACTCCCAGAACCTGGGGGGGCGCCGAGACTGAGAAGAATGGGCTGGAGGGGGATGGGCACTGTGGGTGACAACCACAGGGCCCTGGTCCCTCAAAGAGGCCACCAAGGAGGCAGGCTCTTGGCTCCAGAAGAGGCCGAGGGATGAGTATTGGGGCGGTGGTCTGGGAGAAGGAGCTGGGCTGGCTCCCATGGTGGGATCCTGCCTGCGCAGCAGGGCCTGTGCTCCCTGGTGGGTTTGCCCAGGTTCCCCTGGGGGCTTCCCATGGAGACCAGTGAGGGCCTGAGGTCTGCAGGATGGATCCCTGATACATGGGGGCTCCCCGCCCCCCCTGGGATCTGTCTCCCTGTACACAGTCTTCTTGTCCTGTAACTGGAACTATGTCCAGTTCATACTCTATTTCCAGTAAATGTGCGGAAACAAAACATTCATAATAAATTTAAAAAGATTGAAGCCATACCAAGTATCAAATCCAGAGAGCTATAGCCCTCTTTTAATTTCTCATGAATACTTCAATCCAGCATATTGTCTGAGATTTGGGGGTCAAAACCCATCCCAGGGTGACACCAGAGAGGGGGCTGCAAGGGCCGCAGATGTCCCTGTCATTCTCTGTCTCTCACTCTCCCCTCTGCGCCCTTCCCTACCTCTCTTTTTACTCCCCTCCTGATGCCCCCCATCAGTCCCTCTCTGTTTACCCTACAAGCGCCTCTGGATCCAGACCGTGTCTGGAGGGATTAGCAGGTGCCAGGGCCCGAGGGCACCTGGCTGAGTCCAGCCCGAGGGGACTCGTCCTGCTCCTCAGCAATCCCAGAGGACCCGAGAGGCCCAGGCCTCTTTCCCCCTGGGCAGGGAGCCCCGACAGGCTGTGCT